CAAAAAAAAAAAAAAAAAAAGTTAGAAAACTGTCTGCCTCCAACAATCCATTTCAAAATGCCAATGCAAATTTCTAAGAACTATGAAAACCATTTTTTCTTGATTTATTTGATAGTAAAACCTGGTCTATCATCAAGTCTTTTAGGATAAAATCCGACATGAACTGATATGGGGCCAATTACACACTTTAGGGTGGCACCTGTGGCTCAAGGAATAGGGCGCTGGTCCCATATACCGGAGGTGGCAGGTTCAAACCCGGCCTGGGCCAAAAACTGGAAAAAAAAAATGCTGCAATTACACACTTTAATTATGCTGCAGTGGCAATATTTATTAATTTAATTGAAGACATATTAACGTGACTAATTACAGAATGTGGTCCTAACCACTCTGGGGGTAACCCATAACACAGAAAACATATACTGCATTATCCTTCCAAAATCTGAAAACTTGTGAAGTTGTAAACATCTACACTCCCAGGTTTCAAATTATGGGCCTTCCCCATATTTATACAAGACAGCTTGAATTCCTATAGTGTATGGTCTAAGGTAGCTGTCCCAGCAAAATATACTTAAATGTTTATCAAGTTTCTTACCCTGTTTCCGTTCAGAAAGAGGCTCCAAAAACAATGTAGAGGTTGCAAGGCACCTCTTAAGTTTAAATGAAGAAAATCTACATCACATAATTGCATTAGTTATGTTTTTATCTCCTGACCTGTCTAAAAAGCAAAGGGAAACAAGTTCTTTCGCAGAACCACAGCCTGCTGCCATGTTTCCTTGTTCATCGGGGGTGTGAAGTTACCTGTGTAAGCTGCTTTCTCGACTCAAACTTTTCCTGCCAATTGGAACCACTTCTCATCTGCAGTTCTTCTTCCAGCTCTTAGCCCTGTACCACACAGGGTGCACTCTCCATCCTTCCCACTTTGAGGCAAGCTACCTTTTGCCTGGCCTTTCCCCAAGGCTGCACTGTCTGTACTGCCCTAAAGCATCTGTCCAATACTGCTTGTCGCTCAGACATTTGCACATGCGGCTTATTGGTAGAATGCTCTAGATATGGCAGAAACCAGGTCCTAGCCACTGTAAATTTCTTACTGAAAGAAGACAATTGTGTGGTATTTTCAAAACAAATAAACTGATATAGAAGAACTCTCCTCTTTCTAAGGGATGTAAGAGAAAATCACATATTCCTTCCTAGAGGTACTAGCCCTCACTTCTAAAGGAGAAGCCTGGAGCTTTCTCATCAAACCACACCCCAAACTTAGTTGTTTCTGATCACAGTGGAGACAAAGTGACTGCTAATGATACAGCCAGTGTCTCCTCAGGCCTTCTAGAATAAAGACATCAAAATTCCAGTGGGTACAGGGGTAGGAGGCCTAGTGAGGGTTTGGTCTTTTGCTCCCGCTCCCGTGAGCAAAGTGATCCAAGTGCAGCAGGATCACGTTTAAGCACTAGTGCCAAAGTCAACTGTGTTTAACCAAAAAACTTCACACTAGTGAAACATAACACATCCCTGGACACACTGGACAAAATGTAAGGAAAATTCAGAAAAGTAAACCCCCCACTGAAACTGATGATCAATTCCCAGTGATGAAGGCAGCATTCAGGAAGCTACAAAAAGCACGCAGAAACAAAATTGATGAAAGACTGACTTGAAGATACTGAAGCTGACTACCCTGTCCACCACACCAATTCTATATAGGTCAGGACTGTTGGCTCTGCTTCCTGTGAGTTACATGGAATCACAAATGGATGTCCACTGTAGGAGACACCCTCAGGGTATAAGAGGAGCAACCTGTGCCCAGACACAGTACACTGTCTGTCCTCCACCTACACCCAAGCAGGGCAGGACTGCAACTCCCCTGAATAAGTGCAACACTAACTTTGAAGATCCTCAAATTTTAGAGAGTCAGTCTTGGCCTTTTCTCCAAAGTCCAATCCTGTCTCTCGCCTGCAACAGTCCTAGCCAAGACCCACAGTTTACACCCACCCAAATGTACCACTCGCCTTTTGAGTCCAGCTTTCAGCCTCCACTGTGGCCCCTTCCCCTAACCTCCCTGCCGACCACTCTCCTCTTCCACAACCCAGAAGATCGCTCTTACTCCAGGCCTCCTTCTATGACCACCTCCCGTCAGCCTGACCCTACTCCTCCGGGAAGTAAGTACCTAGCCCAGATCCATCCTCATCTTCAGCGATCACCTCTGACGACCTACCCCCGGCCTTGGTGGTGACCCTCCCCAGGCAGTGACCCTCCCCCGGCCCGGCTCTGACCCACAGCCCCCAGGAGTGACCCTCTCCAGGCCTGGCCCTGACCCACAACCCTGCCAATGACTATCCTCGACCCAGCCCTGACCCACGCCCCACCCACAGTGTTTAGTCTAAGGTAATTGTTCCGGCAAAACATACTTAAATATGTTTATTAAGCAGACCATGCCCCCAGCGACCTGGGAGACGAACCCCCGCGCCAGGACCGCGCCGCTGACCCGGGCCTACCCTCGGCCAGGACTCGCCGCACCCGCAGCCGCAGCTCGCCCAGTTCCACCGTCTGCCCCACGAAGTCACTCTGGTCGCGAGCGGCAGCACTGCCCAGGGAGCCTGGGCCTGCCAGGAAGTCGAGCGCCGACTGCAGCAGCGACATGGCGGCAGCCGCACAACCGGAGCGGCCGACTCAGGCTCCCGCTCGGTCCTGGTCTGCTTAACAGCCGCCAGCCTGCAGTTCTTCCATCTTCCGCCCCGGCGCCGTGACGTAGGCACGCGGGAGAACGCTGCGCTCCCGGCTGCCAGGAAAGCGCCGACACCTCATTTCCGCCGCGGCGGCTAGGCGCGCAGGCGCAGAAATACAGGTGCGACGGCGCGTGCGTGACGCCGCGGGTCTCCTGATCAACTTCCGGTTGCTTAGCGCGCGAGCGGGGCCTACCGGAGCGGAGACGCGCCGAGGTGTGGCGGTGGCGGTTCCCGCGCAGGTAGTTTAGCGCCGGGCCGCGCCCCACTCTACGTCCAGCGGGAGGCCGGTCCCCAGATTTCTGCGGTGCGAGCGCCGCGTCTGCGCATGGGCTCGGGAGTGCTGGCCGCTCGCGGCACAGGAGCGGGTAGGGGCACGTCGAACACTCAATAAATATTCAGTTTTAGTCTCGGGGTGGGGGGCGGGCGCGTCCTGTGACTTTTAGTGACGAGGGTCGCAGCTCCGTCGACGCGCACAGTGCGTTTGCCAGCGTGCTCGGAGAAGCCAGATCGCTGGGAGGCTGGCCGCGGGGCCTGGGCTGGGGCCGTGGCCGGCGGGGGAGCCGCGGGCGGGTTCACCGGCCTTCTGGTCTGCGAGAGCGGGTACTCGCTTCCCCCGCGACCCCTTCAGCTTTGAACAGTGGAATTCGAGAATACGGTGTCGCGCGGAGCGTGTAGCAGCCCAGAGTTATTGCTGGACAGCGGGTGCGCGTCGCCCTGAGGACGCACCGGCGAACTGCAGTTACTAGTGGGCTTTTAAAGGAAAGACGAGACCGTTCCTAACTTGTTTACATTAAAACAGCAAATTGTTGATTGGTTGTACATTGTTCTAAAGATGGTTAGTGAAGCTGCTAGTCCACAACGAAACACTGTAAACAGTTGCCCCAGGCACCGTGGCCCTGCTTCTGTCTCTGGGTCTGACAAAATCTTTTTTTTTTTTTTCGGAAACGGAGTCTCAGTATGTCGCCCTCGATAGAGTGCTGTGGCGTCACAGCTCACAGCAACCTCTAACTCTTGGGCTTAAGTGAACCTCTTGCCTCAGCCTCCCAAGTAGCTGGGACCACAGGCGTCTGCCACAATGCCCGGCTATTTTTTTGTTCCACCATTTTAGTTGGCCCAGGCCTGGTTCGAACCTCCCACCCTCAGCTTATGTGGCTGTCTCCGTAAACACTGTGCAACAGGCGCCAAGCCAGGGTTTGACAAATTTTGCAAACCTCACTGGGCTCGGCTCAGCGCCTGTGGCTCAAGTGGCTAAGGTGCCAGCCACATACACCTAAGGTGGCAGGTTCAAATCCAGCCCAGGCCCGCCAAACAACAATGGTCCCTAGCATTTTCCAACATAAAAGCAAGTCCTCTTAGACCACTGAGAAGGGTTCATCATGCCCAATTACTTGGGGATAAAAAGGCGATTTTCTTTATAGAATAATGAGGGAAAGATCAGTAGACACATCTTGTTTGTTTTTGAGACAGTCTTGCTTTATCTCATGGGCCAGAGTGCGGTGGTGTCATCACAACTCACAGCAACCTCAGACTCTGAGTTCCTCCTGCCTCAGCATCCCCAGTGCTACCAGACTACAGGTGGCTGCCACAAGTCCTGGTGAATTTTTCTATTTTTAGTAGAGATGAGTCTCACTCTTGGTCAGGCTGGTCTTAGACTACTGACCTCAAGTGAACCTCGCACCTTGGCCCTCCACAGTGCTAGGATTGTAGGCATAAGCCACTGTACCCACCCAACATGCATTTTTATTTTTTTCACCACTACACGTTTTTAAGGAAAAATGAATTAGTCACTATCATTTAAAGACTGCAAGATTAAATTGTAAAAACCCAGTGTTCCAGCTTCTGCAGATAAACCATATCAGGCAGTATTGGACCCACAATCCTGTGTGTTTTAGGTCACCTACAACTACCTCCTTCAGTGAGACACAGCCATTTGCCTACAAACTTGGCTTATTTGTTACCTGCCTGGTTGTTGTAGGCATGTGAGGTTGCAGCCCCTTGTATGTAATATTTGTTTTCAAGGTCAAAAGTGGACTCTAAGGGTCAAATCAGCATTTTATTCTCCCTGGATTTTAAGCTACAAAAATATCCTTTCAGACAGGCCAGTATCTATTACCTTTATCATTGAAAGATAACATGCTCGACTCATCAGAACATTTATTCTATTTTATGGAATGAAGTGTTGCATGATTTTAGAATCACAGTAAAGCCAAGCAAGATCTTCAAACTAAAAGAAAAAATAATAACATTACTTTAGTTTATACAGTGAGCTATTGCTTACAACGCCCTTTTTGTGATGGTTCACGTCAGTGCAAAGAAAGTGCAGCATAATTAACCCCCCCTTTTTTTGGATGAGAAAACATGCTCAACAATGTTATTACTTGGACAGGGCTAGTCCTGTCCTGTCCAGTGATAAAGTGAGAATTCAATGCAAGTTGTATGGCTTTTTCAGCATGTGCATTTGTCTGGTAAACTAGAATACAAGGATTGGGAGCTCAGGGAAGAGTCCAGGCTAGAGACAAGTATTTGGGAACCCTTGGCGCATATATATATATATATATATATGTATGTATATATATATTTCTAGGAACTGAAGAGGGCCAACACAGCATAGTTAGACATGAAGAAAACCAAGAAAGAATTATGGTATAGAGCCAAGGCAGGGGGGTGAAAGATGGTTAAAAGTGTCCAATGTAGGCTTGGCACCTGTGGCTCAAGTGGCTAAGGCGCCAGCCACATACATCTAAGGTGGCGGGTGTTGCGTTGGGGTTTCGCGAGAGACAGACAGCATCGCCACAGGTGTAGTCTCGCATCTAGAATTATTATGATAAAAGAGACAGACTACCTCCTGATGGCAAGTAGCAAAGTTTCTTGTTCTTGACCACCCGTTTGTAGTTGGCTGGTCACATACACACTGTTAATTAACAAGTAAAGTATACATACTACTAATCTTTTTAAAAGTTAGTTCAATCGGCTC